CAAATCGGCTATTCCGTACCATCGGTGATAAATGGGTGTTGGTACATGTCAATGAGACAGAACCTCCATCAATTCGGCCTTAGCATTTAGAAGAAAATCATCGGCATTTTTCCAAGCAGATGGTTACTGCTGACTTGGCATTAAATTGCTGGATACTTTCGATCGATATAAATATGAAATAGTAGAATAGAAGGGTTGGACTAAATATTATGTGTAAAACATGTTGTAGTGCAGTCTGTTTCATCCCTTAACTGTAAACACAGACCGAACTTTGCATCCGGGTAAAAAAAGCAGGAATCATCAGTGCAGCCTCCTACCTTCCACATAGTGAATGGCCCTGTGCCTAATTTGAAAGACGGATATGTGAAAGAAAAAGAAAAGGGAGAGAACAGACAGAGCGAGAGAAGAAAGAAAGAGAAAGATAACCCATAGTGCAGACAATCATTGTTTGTCATTTATGAGCAGCATTTTTTATGAAAATGATGAGCATATTATTCTGGGCGTTTAATCCCTGAATCAATAGGAAAGATGAATTTTCTGAGTACTTTATCGGTTCCTGAAGCGAAACCTGAGAACGGGACAACCTTCCACGCCTGTAGATGCTTATAAGCCATCTACCCTAGTCATGGAATCCCTCTAGAAAGATGCATACACAAGAGTTTAAATCTTTTGACTACAAGTACAATAAAACAAGCGGGCTTGACATAACGGCTACCACCAAGCGAGTGTGTCTTAGTAACACCGAGAATTGTGCGGTGGCAATCCAAATGATCTCAAGGAAATATTATGCATTAAATATAACTTGCCTGTGGTATTATCGAAATTCGTTTCCGCAGCAGCTTCAGAGGAACAGTCTTTGTATCAATATCATCGATAAATATTTTCCCCTCTGGTTCTGTGAGGCGAAAAAGTGCCCTCAAAAGAGAACTTTTCCCCGCTCCAGTCCTTCCGACTATTCCGATCTTCAAAAAAACAATGAATAACGTATTCGTCAAGTAGAACAAAATGTAAAACAGACGACTAGTCTTTGGACCGAATTGAGAGGTCTCGACTGTCTAATCGTAATTTGTTCAGTTATTTGGCTTCTAATATCCATACTTTTTTGTCTGCAAAAACGGAACCG